GAGAAAGAGAAAGCTGCTGTAGAGGGAATGAGACAAAAGGCAATGCAAACCATGGGCCAGACTCGGAAGAGGACATCATCAGATAAATCTGAAACTCCAACMAAAAGAAGTAGGAGGGGTGTTGGAGAATCTGTCTAATATTTGGAAGAAAAAAAACACAACAAGAAATGGCACTGAGGAAATCAAAGTGTGGGTCATTGCCAATAAACAAGGAGTAATTTTGTCGGCTCATTGCCTCAATTGCCTTGCTGGTTTAGCAGAATCGTGTTSGCATATCGCAAGTATTTTATTTTACATTGAAGCGTGGACACGAATTCATGGAAAGCTCGCCTGCACTCAAGTCAAGTGTACATGGTTGTTACCAACATACGTGAAGGAGGTGCGCTACTCCCAGGTAAAAGACATAGACTTTAGATCAGCTAGGCGAATGAAAGCTGAACTTGACAAAAAAATCGACGAGCCCCCTTTAAACGTTGATGTTCAACGAAGTCAAAACCTGGTGCCGCCCAAATCAGCCCAATGCAAACCAACTGACAAAGAAATCGGCGACCTTTTTAGCAAGCTAAATGGATGTAAAAATAAGCCTGTTATTCTCAGTCTTGTTCCACCTTATGCTGATAGCTTTTTACTGAAAAGTAGGAGAATTGCTACTCTCAATGACCTGTTTGATCCTGAAAACCTGAAGTTAAACTATGTTGATTTGCTAACAAAATGCTCTGGAATTCAAATATCTCTGTCTGATTCAGAGATTGAAATTATTGAGGAGGAAACCAGAGAACAATCACGTACATCTGCTTTTTTTACTCACCGAGCAGGTAGAATTGGAGCATCTCAGAGTCATACTGTTTTCCATACAAATGCCGCACAGCCATCGATATCTTTAGTAAAAACCATATGTTATCCTCAGCTATTCAMGGTGACAACTGAGGCCACTTTCTTTGGGAACAAAAATGAGGYCAAAGCTATTGAYGCATACAAAGAGGCAGTTTCTGTAAAGCATAAAGACTTTAAAGTGTCTAAGTGTGGAATGTTTATTGACAAAAGCAGACCATGGCTACATGCAACTCCTGACTTTCTGGTTACTTGTTCATGTTGTGGTAACGGGTGTGGGGAGGTTAAGTGCCCCTTTACCCTCAAGGATGGAGACTTTGACAGTTACATTCAGAATAAATCATCTTGTCTTCAACTAGCTGATGGCAAGCTTCAGTTGAAGAGGGATCACGCATATTATTTCCAGATACAGCAACAACTTCTCATCACAGGAYGCAAGTATTGTGACTTTGTGGTTTGCTCCTTTCCAGAATCTGGCAACATTCTCTTTGTAGAGAGAATAATGCCAGACCCAAAGCACTGGGATGCTGTTATTCCCAAGTTAACGGAGGCTTGGAGAATATGTGTATTACCTGAGCTGACATCAAGATGGTACACAAGAAAACAACATCTACCTGGCATTGCTTGCACTACTGACCCCGACGGGATCTGCTACTGTCAAAAGAAGTCTGATGAAAAAGTTCTTGAATGCAACAATTAAGATTGCAATATTAAGAAATTTCATTATTCTTGTTTGCGTGTTACCGAGCCTATCCCCAAAACAYGGTATTGTCCAACTTGTCGTCTACTCCCTAAATTCCAAAAGAAAATCCACTAARCATAGGTACAGAATCCAAATGAAGAAGCAGAGTCGCACTAGTGTGTGTATCTGTGACAAGAAGGCCACAAAGAGTGACAGACTACTCAAGTGCAACAATAGTGAATGTAAGAGTGGGCAATTTTTCCACCTTRATTGTTTGCAATACAAAAGAATGCCTAGAAATTGGCAAAGTACCTGGGTGTGTAGTAGCTGCAAAGTCAATAGCAATTGGCAACCTGCAGTGAGTAAACCAGTTTCTAGCAAGATATTACATAACCAGCCTACCACTTATACTCCAGATACTTCACAGAAGCCTAATCATGATAATCAAGATTCAAGTGATGATGAACCTGTGTTTATTAAGGAAACCAAGGGGAAYATTGACAAACAAGCAAGTCTTGGTGATTTAACCCAACAGCACTTTGACATTATAATGTCTAGTAATGGCTATCTTGATTTTGTACCATCATTCAGCAAGCACAGATATACTTGAAAAATGTCAATCCTTTCATTGAAGGCTTCCAAAGAACAACATTGGGACCTTGTAGAAACTGCAATATAGTTACTAGTGAGTTTGTACAAATTCTACATACAGGTAGTTTTCACTGGGTATGTATCAGTTCGATTGGATGTCAGCCAGGAGAGGTGAACCTTTATGACAGTTTGTACCATGACATCATTGCAATGGAGGTCAAAGACCAGGTTGAGAGTATGATGGCAGGCAGCTTTACTCGTATCACTAATGTTCCTGTACAGCAACAGCTTAATGGAAGTGATTGTGGCATTTTTGCAATTGCTTTTGCTACATGCTTAGTTTATGGTTATAAGCCAGAAGACTTCACTTTCAACATATCAAGAATGCGACCACACCTGCTTAAGTGTCTTAAGGATGGAGCTATCACAATGTTCCCTAGTTTTTGAGCTCAATCTAAAACTCCAATTTAGATTTAGTATTATAAGCAGCAAGTGACTTGGAGATCTAGAATGTTCATCTGTTTTCAGAAATATTACCTTTATATATTATATTATCATTCATCTACTTGCAAAAATTATTTATTTTGTTAATATTATTTGTGAATTTATTCTGTTTATTATTATTATTATTCATCGACTTGCAAAAATTATTTATTTTGTTAATATTATTTATGAATTTATTTTGTTTATTATTATTTATTTGCAAAAATCATTATCATTAAATCATGAGCATCACAGGTAATATTGAACTGCTTTTGTAACTTTAGTCTGGAATATGTTGGTGGCCATTTTTCTATTTTTATAAAACATGTGTTTGATTACTTTTGACTGCCTCCTGACAGAAGACCAGGCATTAAAGTTATGCATGGAAAAATATGTAAATGAGATAGGTTGTTCCGTTTAGACTCTGTATTTATTTGAATCAAGTATGTAACATTAACAAACAAAGGGTTTATTGTTGATGTTTTTAAAAAATATGCAGTATATAATAACAATTATAAACTTCCTAGTTATGAAGTGAATGAAAAATGGCTTCAGATATGAGCTGCTATCCAAATATCATTTAGATGAAGTCTTTATTCATTCACTGGTGTACTTTAATGCATTTGAGCATTAATAGAAAGATTAATTACAAAATAAAATGATCACTGAACTTGACTGGTCTTTGTAATTTCACTCAAATATCTAAGAAAAGAACAAAATCACAATTAGGATTGGAAACATAGCGATACATTTTTAGAGGTGAAAAGACAATAATAGTCAGACCTTTTGTTTSAGACCTTTTTTTCCATTTTTGTTTTTAATCTTTAAAGASCATATGACATGAAAACAGTTTTTTGTTCATTGAAAGAACGCTTTTGAAAAACCTCAAATCTCGGGTTTTAACCAAATCTGATAAAAAGCCGCAAAGTTATGAGCGTTGAAAGTTGTGATTTTTCACCCAAAATTTGTCCTCTTTTTCCGCTCGGCCAAACGCGTCATATTACGTCATTTTGTTGGGTCGCGATCTATTAGTTGCAAAGATGGCGGTCGAAGTGAGCAGTTCATCTCTCAAAAATCGAAAATACAAAGGCAGATATTACATGGCAGGATATAGAAATAACATTAGCTGCAAAAATAACAGTTATACTCTAGATATATGATGTTCCCATTACCAAGCGACCCAGGATTACGTGAAAAATGGACAAAGTTTGTCGCGGACTTCATTAGCTGCGAAAAAGAAAAACATATCGTTGTGCTCGGCACATTTTAAAGAAGAATGTTTTACATTCGATCGCCGCTATTGAATCTAGTTATATTGAATTATTATAACCTATTAACTATGTTATAACTACAACTAACAATAACCTTTTTTTAGCGTTTCAAAATCCGATCGTGTTCAAGCTACTGAAAAACTTTATAGTGTACTGAAACGGGTAGGCGTCGCCGGGTTCTGTATTATTACATGTAAAGCAGACATTTTAGCGGTTAGTAATATCTGAGTCAATACGCATCATTTTCAAGTACAATCCAAGTGTTGGTTTACAGAATTGAGGTTCTATACACCCATCGAAAACTAATTTCCCTTGAACAGTTTAAGCTTCTAAACAACAACAGAACAACGATATTCTGAGCCATATATTCTGTTCATGTTCTGTTCGCTGCTTCTTTGTTTACATACTTTTCGCTTCAATAAAGCCGAACAGCCTGTAATATGTAATACAAGAGTTTTATACACTTCTCTT